GTGTGTGTGTGTGCACAGTGTGCATGCACTGCGTATGCAGTGTATGTGTGTACACAGTGTGTGCAAGGGTGCACTATGCATGTGCAGTGTATGTGTGTACACACAGTGTGTGCGAGGGTGCACTGTGCGTGTGCAGTGTATGTGTGTATACCCGGCGTGTGTGTGCGTGGACTGTACGTGTGCAAGGTATGTGTGTATACCCAGCATGTGCGTGGCTGCGCCGTGTGCACGGTGTATAGGTGTGTGTGCGAGTGTGCCCTGCCCGGCGGCCAGGCTGTGTGCACGGCTGGCGCGGTGCCCTGGCCCGCGTGCCCAGGGCAGCCTTGACCTGGGCCTGGCTCCCGCAGGCGCCACCAACTGCAGCAGCTACTTCAAGCTGGGGGTGAAAGGCCTGACGTTCGAGAAGTGTGAGCACACGTCGCTGTGCTACGCCCCCGCCTGGGTGTGCGACGGCGCCAACGACTGCGGGGACTACTCGGATGAGCAGAACTGCCCGGGTGAGAGCGGGGGCAGGGGGCCGATGGGCGGGGAGTTAGTGACCGTCTCTCCCCAGGGCTGCGGGGGCGCACGGGACAGGAATCAGCTGACCGGGGTCTCAGTGTCCCTGGGCCTCAGTTTCCCCCTCTGTAAAACTCTCCTCCCGGCTCCTCAGTTCAGACTTGCTCTTCAGGGCCCGGGGCCCCCATCTCGGCGGGGGGTGGGGCAGCCCCCCAGAGAGGGGAGTTTCCCTGGGCCCTCTCTGCGCTGCAGAGCCGGGCCTGGCCGCATGGCTCACCGAGCCTGCCCTGGCCCCTGTGCACGTGCGTGTGACCCCCCCTGCCTCCCCAGGAGTGCGAAAGCCCAAGTGCCCGGCCAATTACTTCGCCTGTCCGAGCGGGAGGTGCATCCCCATGAGCTGGACGTGCGACAAGGAGGACGACTGCGAGAACGGCGAAGACGAGAGCCACTGCAGTAAGCGCCCGGGGCGGGGAGCAGAGCATTGTGGGAAGGCTGCAGCACCTGGCGGGTTTCCCGGTTCCTAGGAGGCGAGCGTCCCCCTCTGGGGCGGGGGCAGGGATCCCCGCTCTGCCCAGCCCCCCAGCTCCTCCCTTCTCGGGAGAACAGAGCCCCAGTCCCGTGGCCAGCCCCTTGCACGTTTGCACACCGGGTCGTGCGAGAGCTTCGCGCGCGTTGGGCAGCCGGTGCGAGTTCGGGAAGTCACCCTGACAGACGTACCCGGGTGGCGGCAGACTGGTCCAGCTGGGAGCCCCCACTGTGCCCATCCCCTTGGCTCTAGCCCCATGGATCCACTCAGCTCTGAGCTCCCACATCTGCTGCCCGCTGGGCACATGCTGCAAAAGCAGCC